AGCCCCTTTGCAAGAACCACTCTCCAGGAAACTAAACTCGCTAAACTTGAGCAGGGTTCTCTCCTTCTCTGGGACTATCCCTCAGTAACAAAGGCTGAGTTACTTTTAAAACTCCACTTAGGGTATCTTACAGCTCTATATCTGCTGCTAGGGAACATGTTTGCGTCACTAATGGTAGCAGTTTCCTGTCAGCCACAAGTTAAGAGCCAACTGCCTGCAAAGCTGAGCTATGCTTCATGGAACTACGTGGTCACTCTCCTGAGGACAAACAGCCACTTACAGCACAAGTCTTACCCTGTACCACCTGGTCTTCTGCATGAAGATGGATGACTTCCTTCTCATAATTTATTTTTTTTAACCACTTTCCAAAGGGTCCTTTGACAGGTATGTCAAAGAATTAGCCCACCAAAAATGGATACCAGTCAGAAGACGGGCTCACTCTTCAGCTGTTCTTTAATAACAAAGCCCACAGTAGCAATTCATAGGATAGTTATAACTTGCATTGCATTCTCTGAACATTGACTCCACATCATGCTAAGTGCCCATACTCAGTGCAAAAGAACAACCAGACTGATCACCTGCATAAGATCCAGAGGTGCCAACGGAAAGCTTCTGCACCTGCTGCAGAATGGTTTTTCTGTGAGACCAAACCAGCATTTAGCTTTTGAAACCCTTTCAATGTGAGGAAAACACTTCTTTCCTCTACACTGCATCCAACTTGCAGAAACTGTAAGTGGACATAGCCAAATACAGCAGGAGGATGTTCCTCTGCCAGGAGGAATATCTCCCGTTCTCAGGTAAACACAAGGACTTACTCTGCTACTTCCAGGCAGCTTCAGAAATGATAGTAACATATGGTGAGAAAGAGCTCACCACTTGTATAAATTCTCATACTGTAATACAAGTTAATACCACAATCAACGCTGATAGCTGCCAGAAGCAATTCTAATATGCTAACAAAGGACAAAAATGCTTGCCAAGCCTGCAAGTGTGGGAAGCAAAATAGCTGGCTTGGCTGAGCACACATGAAGGCTTTAACCACCCTAGTTGCTTTAGACCCTCAGAAACAGGTAGCAGCTGGCTGATAGTTGTCTCCTAGTGGGACTTCAGTGAAAATAAGTCATCAGAAACTAACACAGCAATTAAAGTATCTCAGTAAGAAAAATGCCCAGAAACAGCCATGTCTCTGACTGAAGCCACTAACCTACCACTAACTAGCATGGTCAGTAAAGACAGCATCTGTGCAAAGCATCTAAATAAAGAAAGATTTAAAACCTATTGCAGAGCTGCTGTACAGAGCCTGGTAACAATTGCAAGTCTTTTCACCCTCAAATCACTTCACAGCTTCAGAAAGCTTACAGACTCAACAGAACATCAGGTTACCCCTGCAGATCAGACCCTTTTATTTCACCTTTAGTTCTCGACTGAACTCATTCAGCATGCACTGTCAAGTACATTTCAGCAAGGCAGCCAAGTTAGATTTCAGGAAAGGAAAACAGTGAAAACATATCCTTTCCCCTTATAGTTCCAGAGTTTCATCACTACTCTTAAGAGCTGCCACCATATCTTCTAATTGCAGTTCCATTTCTTCAGTTTCCAGTCATTTGTTATTGCATCTCTTGCCCTTATTTAATAAACAGCCTTTCCACAGAAAAAGTATATCATAAAGCACCCACTCCAGGGACTTCTTTTGAAAAATAACTCAAAAGCATAGATTCCTCAGGTCCTCCCCAAAAGACATTTTCTATTTTTAAAAATCCACCTGGCAATGTTTTGTTGCTTCTCCCCAATACTTTAATAACCCATTTAAAATTTATAGCAATACATCAGGCTTATTTCTCAATGGCTTTCCAGGATCAATATGCAAGTCAAAAAGTAATGACATATTTATGTACCTATATCTAACATTGCATGCATGCACCCATTTTAAGGTCTGTTTTGCATAAATGACTCCCTGCCACCCAGATTGCCTTACCTTGCCAGCCTGCCCTCACCATAACATGACATCCAATTTATTCTGTTTACTTGCAGACTATAAATAGAAACACTGAGTTGTGGCTGTTTCTAACAGCAGATAATGATTCTTTAATCAATAGCTAAAATGAGATCACTTGACTAACTCATCCTTTCAGCTCTGAACCATTAACACCTGCAAATCACAACCTCCTGTGGAGTACCTCCCCTTCCAAATTCATTACACCTGCAATTATTTTTTTTCCAATCATACTGCTTCTACTGAAGAAACAACACATGGTTTGTTTGCCAGCATCTTTTTTCCTTTAAGTCATATTGACTTACAATAACACATTCCCATCCTGTAATTCATTATTGGATGAATCTTGTTTGATTTCTCATCTGTCTTCTCTGGGACTACTGACAGGCTAGCAAGCCCATCAATAAGCTTAAACTGAAATGAGTTCTTGGTCCAGTGATCAATTTCCCTCTGTTTGTCTTTCTGCACATGCCACGAAGAAGAGAACCAGTATTCACCATCCAAAGGCAATCTCAGCTGAAAAATACATACCTGCCATACTCAAACATAAACTAGATAAGGGGCTTAAAGAGCAGAAGCTGTAGCATCATGTGCTTAGATCACTACAAGTCCTTCTGACCCTGCCTTGGGTGCTCAGTTACCCCTACGGCACAACTGTTCTTGCCAGGGCACGCTGCTGCTTTGTTATACCAGCCCTACTGGCTGGGTACACGTCCTGAATTTGCTCCTTAGCAAAACCTCATAGGTCAAAGCCATTAGTCAGCAACCTGTAGAGGAAGGTACAAAGGCAGGCCTAGATTTTCGTTTCCATCTCTTATCACTGCTTTAAACAGAAGGATAGGCATAACACCAGCCATAGATTCAGTTTTATACTTAGCATCTATTTTTTAAGTTAGTATAAAAGCCTTCAGCAAAAGATTATGTTTTGCAGTTATTTATTCTATATCCATACTCTTTTATGTTCATTCATTTTATGTACAACACAAACCTCTGAACCACAAGATTTTGAGGATTATACATAAGATTCTGAATTCTGTTTCAGCACCTGGCCTCCTACTCTGCTGCTCTTTTTCCCCTGCACTTGCCTTCATTTAAAGCCTAAAATTTTATCACAACATATCTATGTCTAACATATCTAACAAGGTTGTGAAAAGAATAGCGTAACACATGGGAACAGAGAAGCACCACCTTTTCTATTTTTGTACCACAATTTTTCTAAATATCATTTTAGTTCTCTGTGATTATTCAGAGGTTTGTTGAGTTTGCAAGAGGTCCAGAACTCACCTGGGGAGTGACATGCTATGGGAAGATGTCTTTCACCTTCAAAAGTCGGATGGCAGAAGAACAAGAACTGAAGGCTTACAGAACATTTAAGTGACAAGATATATTAAAGAAATCATGATACTTTGAAAGAAAAAAAAAAAAACCTTCAAGTGCTCTTCTGTTCTTTGCTACTTTTACCCATTGTTGTAAAGCAGAAGTATATAACCACAGTCCTCTTTCCAGATAACCAGTGTGCTAATTCACAGAACAAAAAAAAGAAAACTAGTCACATTGCTGCAGGAGATGCTAGAGACTAAAGGGAAAAAGCACAACAAAATGTCATACCCAGCAGTGACAAGGTCTAGAATAGGAACTATAGAGTGATTATTTCCCATTGCTCAGAGCAGATGATTATAAATGACAGTGGGTCATTAACATATGATGTAGCTACAGAATACCATACCTTACCATTTCACTGTAGCTTTATAGCTGTCTTCACACAGAGTCCAACTGCAAAGAGTATGCTGGGAAATGCAGTCTTCATGCTGAGCAGCTTTTTCAAACTTAAAGAGGAAGTTGCTGCAAATCACTAGAATGTGCTTTTACGGAGCTCAGGTGTACAGCTGCAATAACTGATTAAAATGCAAAAGTCACAGCAGCATGGCAATGACTGGTATCCAGAAACAATAATATGTTCAGATATCATTCCTTGAGTTCTCTTGCAAAGAAAAACAGAAGTGTATTTGTACCCTCAAATGTATAGAGATTGAAGTGATGAGTCAAGTATATAATCAAAGAACATTAGGATGTTATAATCACAAAATAAACAACAGAGTTTGGCAAAGCAGATAATGATAACAAAAGAGAATAAATAGAAGGCTTACCCCTACCCTGAGCTCACTCACAAAACACCAGCAGAGATGATCTCCAGAGGAGATCCTTCCCCTCTGGTAGCCAGCTCTTAAATAGGTCTAGGAGAGGTGCAGCCAGGCTCCATCCTTCCAGCAGCACAGGTGAATTGCCTTCACCTGTGCTCCTCTGGCTGGCTCACCTCAGGTGATCAATCAGAGGTTCAGGACGTGACTCAGTAGTTCCCATACAGTCAGGCATTTGAAAGCTAACTGTATCCAGACCAAACCTCTCCTTCATTCACTCATCAGAGACTTTCTACTCACTCTAGGCAGTAAAATACTTGATCAATTACTTGGCAAGTAGTATGGTAGCAAACAAAAAAAGGAAGTTAAGAAATACTTCTCATTTAGTGCATGATAAATAACGCTGGCAACCTATTTCTTCCTAGGAAAATTGAAGCTGAAATTGCCATAGGAGTAACCATAAAAAAATACATTCAACTTTCCCCTTTACAAGAAAGTAAGGCTGCATACAGATTTTGAACTAATTAAACCAAAAAGATACTGTAACACTATAACGGGATGGAAAATACAATAATAATAGCAGGGTAGCAAAGTCCTTGACTACAACAAACGAGGACAAGCCCAAACACAGCAAACACAAATGCAGAAGTGAACAAAAAATACTGCTTACCTTTAGAAGACCTCAGGTAGGCAATAACCTCCAGCAAAACACCCTTACCTCCAATGCCAACCCTTAAATAAGGACTAGGAAGGGGTGGATCCTGGATCCATCCCTACCAGTCACTCAGCTGCACTACATACACCTGACCTACTCTGGGTTGGCCCTGCCTTCCTGCCAGGTGCTCAATCACTGCTTCAGGATGTGGCTCAGTATTTCTGCTACAGATGCAAATACTGAATACATAACAATAATAATTTACCTAAAATAAGGTTTTATAGGCTATGTTACAAGATTTGAAGAGGTAAGTAATAATTTTTGCTAAGTGTTAAAAAAAGCAGTAGCTTTTTCAAATAGCAAAATACTGTTGAGGTTGGTGTTTATCAAACAACTGATAAAAACTGAGTCTTTTGTTACAAACTGTATTAATTTTGTTACTAATAATAACTTAATCTAGGTTAATACTTGGCAAGGCATGAGAGGGAAGTGCACAAGCATATACTAATAAATCAGGAACTTTTATAACACATAAAAAGTGTTATACTATGTAGTCAAACTTTTATCCACGTTTCTATGCTAGTTTTTACTTGTTGGATGCTTCAGAATTCTTGAAGAGAACGTAAATAAAATAATGGCTAGAGGTGAAACTGTAAGCTCTCTGAACATGCTTACTTTTTCAACTAAAAAGAGTATTTTCTTCAAGCATAACAGAAATAGCAATTAGTTTTTCAGGCCATAAAAGTTTTACTAGCAGAGCTACATAGAGAAGGCTGGTACTGGCTTAGTTACCTAGGTCATTTTCTACAGACTATTCCTCAAAAAAAGCTGAATTTTGGAAGCGTTTTGAGAAATAGTTACAGTTTCAAGTCCATACTATTATAATTATATGGATGTTGAATGGCTATTAAGAATTATTTAAGACAGACCATTTTCTAGTCTAGCCTCTTTAATCCAGTAAGTTTGATTTTCTTTTCTTATGAAGTGCTTTATGCAGTGAAGATTTGAGTCTAAATTACTGAGAAGAACAATTACATAAAGAAAACATCTCATGCTAGAAGAGATCTCTAAGCTTTCAAAAAACATACAAAGAAAGTGATTTGCAGAAGTCTTCTCTTCCTCATATGTATTTTGCATCATTTTGAGGAGTCTTCTTAGAAGTTGTTTCTATCAGATCTGGATGATTAAGTGTACTAAGCTTTAGCTGGAGAACGACTTAAAACCAGCAAGAATATTAGGAACTCCAAGTACAGTCACATACCACACTTGGAAAATACGTTATATAGTATCTTTAATCAGTCTACAAAGCTCAGTAGGAATACCTGCTCCTTGACAGTCATTCCTGTCTTTTTGCCTCTTTCACCTAGTGGAGAGCAAATTTCCTCTGGCACCTAATGACCCGCTGGTTGAAGGAAGTGAAGGCAGCATCACCTACACCTGTGGGAGGTATGCTTTGTAGCATGTTCTGAATGCACATAAAGGCTCAGAAACCTAAAAAGCTTGGAGGCTGATAATATTCATTTCTTCTGTGATTGCAGAGGATGAACACGGTTTAACCATAGTATAAAACTGGCAGTGTGCTAGTGTTTCTCCAGGAAAGCCTGAGGACTATGCAGCAGTTACGTGTGCTGAGCTCTCCATCTAGAGGGGGTTATGCTTGTTTTGGCTGTGTCAGGGTAGGCTGTGCCTAAAGTAGGAAGGATACCTCCATCAGCAATGCAGATTGAGCTCACTGGGATCAACATTGCCCCTGTTTAAATGCTGCTATTTGATCATCAAAGATCACTTCTGCTTTCAAGCTAGAGCTGTTTACCTGGCCGTCGTGTCAAATATGTTTCAGCTGTTTCAGCACAGCCACCTCTTGCTTTAGAAGTCACTCCCGGCACGTAAGGAGAAAAGATATTTGACAAACTAGTTTTGCACACATCCTGTCATGGTTCTTTAAAGTTATCTTCTTTCTTATCAGCAGATGTCCTAAACTGGCATTTATGTGCATGGCAAGCCTCTCCCATGTTGCAGAAGATACGCTCCCAAGAGAACAGCCATGGGCACATGTCAGTGTGACTTCTTTTGCAGGAAAAAAAATAAATCTGTACAACCAACACCAGAGGCACCAATGACCATACTCACAGTTCTGTAACTGAGACAAAATTCTCAGCTAGTACCACTTTTGACAGTCAAAAAAAAGTTCACTTGAGAGTATTTTGATCATTTCTTTTCTTGAAAATGGACACCAATTTACATCATTCATTTGATCTTGGTTTTCCAAAGCACTTGGCTAAGATGTGCAATAACGATTGCATAGGAAAGAATAAATCTGTAGCTGAGTCTAAACACAAATGACTGCTTCTTGTTCAGTAGTGGTAGAAAGGTGCCTTGAAGTAAGCCACCGCTCCTTAAAGATCTAGGTGCATGTCATTATTCATTAAATAAGCACTTCCTACATTCTTTCCTCTATTGAGGAATCTGATTCAATAGCAAAGACTCACTGCTTTGAAATTGGGAAAGTACAGATGTGTTGTCAGCCTGACCTTGATCTCCTGAAACCTAGTTGCTCCCTTTCTTGTTGCGTGCTTGCCCTGAAATTTCAGGCTGGTAACTTGCAATGCACTTCATTACGAGGGCAGTTTACAGCAAACTGAACTACGTTTTGCAAACAGAACTGCCCATGCTCACTGGTCTGAACAGAACCTTTGCAAGGACAATTTTCATTTTCCCCAGGGAGGCTTTCCTACATGAGTGTTGTGGCAGTAACTATTTCAAGACCAAAATAATTACCATGGGCTACGCTTGTATCATAGAATGGGCTGGATTGAAAAGGACCACAGTGCTCATCGAGTTTCAACCCCCCTGCTATGTGCAGGGTCGCCAACCAGCAGACCAGGCTGCCCAGAGCCACATTCAGCCTGGCCTTGAATGCCTCCAGGGATGGGGCATCCACAGCCTCCTTGGGCAACCTGTTCCAGTGCGTCACCACCCTCCGGGTGAAAAAACTTCCTCCTAGTATCTAACCCAAACCTCCCCTGTTTCAGTTTAAAACCATTCCCCCTTGCCCTATCGCTACCCACCCTTGTAAACAGCTGTTTCCTCTCATGTTTATATTACTCTATATGCATCATACATCTATACACATCATACAATATACATCTATATACATCATACAATATGGAACTGGTGGTGAGGTTTAGCTGAGGCTAGAAGCAGCCTGAATCTCTAAAGAACATGCAGGGCAAGTACAAGGCTGGGCCACAGAGACAGGAAGCACAGCTGGCCGAGCCAGAATCAAGGCTGCAACTGGTGCTGCTCTCAGTGCCATCGGTGCTGGCTTGCTAGGGATCTCTGATCCCATGCTCTCGTGGAGTTGTCCCCCAGCTCTGCTTTGCTAATGATTTGGAAAAAATGCAAGGTATGAAGCTAAAGAAATGATTGAATGTAATTCCCAATAGAAGGGAGAGAAGCAAACACAAAAGTCTCTGCAGATTCAAAGTTTAAACACCAACATCTTAAATAGAAAAAGACTAGTAAAATCTATTAACATTTTATGAATGCCCATACCAGTGTCACTCTTTTAGAAGGAAATTATGTATTTACTATTAGCAAACACAGATTTTTCCAGTTACCATCTTTTCTATCAGTTCCAGTGCCAAGCAAGTCCTTTGTGTTTATCTTTGTTTTGGAAATAGTGTCTCTGTACAACTGTTTCTTTTAAATTCAGATGTTCCTGAAATTGTTTTTTCTCCCAGAGGGGAACTGTGAAATGAGTGAATTCTTGGCCAAAAAAAAAAAAAAAATTCTGTTGCAACAAGGTTAACTTACTGTTACTGCAGAAGCACAAATCATTCTTGCAGGATTCAGCAGACAATAGCGTGTACATCTAAGTTAACCCCGAGTCCATAAAAAAAACATATGTTGCATGGGCCACTAGAGTATTGAAGGGCCAACAAGAACATAAATAGAGTCAAATACAAACATAAGCAATCTTTGTGGATAAGCTATGCAAACAATGAACCCTTTTAGAGCAATGAGGCAGTGAAGTCTGATCCTCTCCAGAGTAGCTGTTAACTGAGGTTATGCTGAATATTTCAAGCTGTAATGGTGTGAGTAGTTAAGGACATGAACTCATGACACACAACAGTAGTTCACATCTCAGGCCTAAAATAAGTCCCTGAACTTTAGTAAAGTGATCAAAAGCCTCATCACAAACTTTGAGAGCATATTTTTTTGTTGACACTCTGAATGGGTACCTGTCTTACACTGTCTATGTAATTTTTTTCTTCCCTTCTGTAATAAGCTTAAAAATCATTGGGAAAGTTTTTACAGTGATACCTTAAAGATAATCTGGAGATAAAATCATTTATTCAATGATTAGCCAAAGTCAGCTTTAAGTTTTGATGCTGTTGATTAAGAGAAAGAAGTGTGGCAAAAACACATAACACAGTCAAGGTTCATTCTTGGTCAGCTTGTCTCCTACTGCCATCTATTGAATTGCCCAGCATCTTTCCTGTAGCTACTACATTTAAATAAACGTACTGCATCGCAGGATAAAGCAGGATGCTCAATTAGCAAATATGCCAAAGAATGCAGCAGAAAAACCAAGACAATACAACTACAGATTTTGCAAAATCTGATTTTGATTGCAACATACTATTATTCTCTGGATTTTGAGACAAAAAAGTGAGTATGAATACAGACCAAAAAAAACTGTACAAATAATTACCTAACTGAAAAGCAAAAAGGAGCCCTCAATGCAGTTAGCATGGAAATTGAAACATGATCATCTCAGACTAAAACCTAACCTCTAAATAGTTTTATCAGTAGATGTTCCCTAAGTCTTGGCTCTCTATAGTCATAACAGCTCTAAAAGTCAAAACCTTGCCAGCAGACTGCACAGTAAGACTCGTACATTAAGCAGACCATCTGGATGCAAAGAGTGCACAGCTACCAAGTAACATCAGAAGAGCAAAAGCTACGCTCCTTGGCCTGTAAGCAAGCAGCTCTAAGACAGTGACCAAAGCATTCTATATTGCTACACTGCAAGCACAGTGACTAGGCAGGTGAGGTAGAATCTCACAGGGGCTGTAAATACACCAAACAATTACAACACTACTTCAGTTGAAGTGCTGAAGACAGAAATATTATATGGAGCAGAAAGGTTAGAAGTCACTTAACCTTACTACACTGTATCTCTATAAGCTGTGAAAGCTAGGCCATAGTCTTCCTTTTTGTGATTCAGTAAGTGTAGTAAGAAAAGTTTCTCCAGCAGTAACTGGCTTGCAGCTATCACATAATAAATAGGTACATCACTCTTCAATGCTTTGCTCAGAACACGTCATATGAACATTTCCACTCTGCAATGCAGAATCCTCGCCTCTCAAGCTCCTACTACAGCTCCAATTTCAGCAACAGTTTTGCTGAACTATCAAACTTCTGCTGACCTACAGAAGAAAATAAGAGTGCCAGCTTGCTTTCCAGTATTTGATTTGTGTTATGTTCAAATCATTTACTACAACACTTGTCGTGACCCTCCCTATTTTCCATGGCTGCTTCTAATCCACAGAATACCACAGAGAGTTCTGTGTCCTGCTGCACCAACATAGTACAACAGTCAGTATTTTTTTCAGTTAGGATTTAAGACTTTCTCTTCTCAGAAAGAGAAGCACGGCACAGAGGAGCTGAGGAGTTATTTTCTCAGTTTACAACTTCAGATGCTGAAACAGACATTTCTAAAACCTTGAATTATTTTGTGTTGCTGCCTTAGGGGAAAAAAAAGCAAACAGGTCCCTCTAACGCTTAAAACAAGTGGCTTACTGCAGCTTTTATTAGAATAATTACAAGTAGAAGAAACATGGCACTTCCATTTTTCACAGTGGGATGAACACCTTAGGAACTAATGGGCTGCAAAGCTATAGCAATACAGTGGAAAACCAGATGACATTAAATAAACCAAAACCTAAGCTTGTTCCAACATGACAGCTCCTTCTGTGCAGAAACCACAGCTCTCAGGACAGAAAAGCACAACGCAGATGCAGCAACATCATCCTACACTCAGAGAACAGGGAACTCTCACCACAAACATAGTTTTGCCTACTGTGTCCTAAGGCAGAGTGAAAGCGAAAGGTGTGGACACAAAGGTGGGTAATTCATTCAGCTAACAGTCCTGCTCAGCACTTGCTCCCCTCCAGCACAGAAGACCACGGCTGAGCAGTCACTGAGCCATCTGAGCCTCCATTGCCTGGGCTGTCCATTCTGGGGCTGTCTGACTTATCTTCTCCAGCAGGTTGTTCACTTGGAAACACAGGGACTGAATCTGCTTATCCCAAGTTGGCAAAGCTTCACGAGCTGCAAAAGAAAACCACAAAAAAACAAAGTATAGTTTTGGCAATTCACTGTCATTGTTTAAATGCAAGTTTCACCTACAGCACTGCTCTCACCTGCCTTGCAGCTATCACACTCAATTGTCAAAATCATTACAACTTTTGAAGACGTCTGTTACAAGCCTGACTCCTGCCTTGCAAAAAAAAAGTGAGCAGAGAAATTCCTGATATCCTACAAGTAGACTGACAGTATAAATTCACACTTTGCTATGGATAAAAGAATGCAGAACAGAGGAATGTGTGAAAACTGGAACCTCCTCTGAT